GGGTCAGAGAGGTTGTCTCTAGCTACAAGGGGTCACCAGGAAGTAGTGTATGAGGAAGATGTCTGGATTGGGCACCATGAGGAGCTGGGGAGAGACAGAAAAACTGTGCTGAGAGTAACTAAACTCTGTTTGTGCTAAGGTGATATGTACTCATTTTTAAGATTATTCGGTGTATAAGCAGACAAATGAAGATGAAGGCAAAAAAATGCGATGTTTTTTTCCTCATATACGTAATTTTAACTTTTGTAACATTAAAAATAAGTAAAAACAAGGAAAATTAATTTTAATCATACAGAGGTTACCAAAAAATGTACATGCATTTTAAGAAAGGAAAAAACTGCTATTAAAATTATAACTCAAGTCACATTTGACTTCTGCAATTACAAGAGACGCTTAAATGTGACCAGTGGTCATCCTTTTTACTAGTATATATTGAGTATTCCAATTTTAATAGTTTTATCCTTTCTTAAAATGTGTATCCATTTGGCACCCTCTGTATGCATGTATCACTTACATTGTATCAGGTTATGCTCAGGATGCATAAATATGCTAAGATACCATTTTATATCTGGGGCTTGAGTACTGGTGGGTTTTTGTTATCTGTGAGAGGTCATGGAAACAGTTCCCCACAAATACCAAGGGACATTTAATAAACCTGGTATCTAGCAACTGCAGGAGTTGGGAACCACCAGGAAAATACTAGGTCTTGCATGGGAACGTAGCCTCAGGTCAGTACCTCAACTTGCTTTTACTACACACGAGGAAAAAATGGAGCCACAAACAATAGGAAACTGGAGTGATCTGGAAGTTACAAACACCAGGAATTTTGTGAGGCTCATTTTTAGAAAGGGGTGGAATGCTTCAGCGACTTCCCTGATAAAACCATATACTCAGGACCAAAGGGTGCTGTGAATTCCTGGTAACCACCAGTTCGTCCATCCTTTTAAAGGAACTCATTCAAACTAGAATGTCAGAGGTATTTACCTAGGTGGGTCTGACCTGACTCAAAACTTGAAATGGTTGTATTCTTAAGCTGTACCCAGAATGTACTAGTACAAATTTTAATAATACTGCTTCAGTCTATTTTATGATTAAATAGGTTGTACACTCAGTAGGTTTTAAGCTTTCAATATTCACGTGTATAGTTCCACACACAAACACTAGAACAGTACTAGCACTTACCCCTAAATCCATGGGTTATTTAGCAACATGCCCAACGTACTAACGTGGAGAAAAAACATGAGCTAATGGTTAAGACTTGTTAAGTGTCCAGGTTTACTTGAGAGCACACTGAAGGACGTCACTTATGCCAATTTAGACAGCAAGAGTCACCATTTCTAATTCTAGGGAATCTGACCAGTTCAGGAGTAAATAAGTGAAC